CTCCTGTCCTCTGTCCCAGGGTCTGTCCTGTCTCTCAGGAGACTGGTGCTCCACAGTAACAATCTGCACTCTGTCCCCTCCTGTCTGCTCCTGAGACCTGACCTTGAACTTGACCTCCGCAACAACCCTCTGGGGCTCCCCCCAACTCCAGCCAGCCCCCCATCTTCCAGTGGTGAGACCTGGTTCACATGCATTTTAATTAATCTGGTTAAGATCTGTGTGTTCCCCAGCTGTAATGTGTGAGTAGACTGTGTGCAGTGTTCTGTGTGTTCCTCAGTTGTGTATTAATAGTCAGTGAGCAATGTGTGGGTATATGTTTTATGTAGGGATCTGTGTTCCTGAGTTGTATGTTACTGGTGAGTGACTAATGTGTGAGTAGATTGTGTAATGATCTGTGTATTCCTCAGTTATCTGTTAATAGTGAGTAATGTGTGAGTAGACTGTGTAATGATCTGTGTGTTCCCCAGCTGTGTGTTAATAGCAGGTGAGTAATGTGTGAGTAGAAAGTGTAGTGGTCTGTGTGTTCCTCAGTTGTGTGTTAAAAGTTAGTGAGTAATGTGTATGTCTTTTATGTAGGGTTCTGTGTTCCTCAGTTGTGTTTCAATGGTGAGTGAGTAATGTGTGAGTAGATTGTGTAATGATCTGTTCCTCCATTGTGTGTTAAAGGGGAACAGCAGCCCCAGTTTCTCAGACTGGTTATCTCATAGCAAAATAATTTAATTGACAAATTTAAAATTAAGCACAAAATTGTGAACTTTGTGAAAGTGCTGTGTCACCATGTTGTCGCAAACTTGTATTCGAGATCCCGTGAACCGTAACGTGAGGCGGCCCTTCCTGCTCCCCAGTCCCTGTGCCGATTGGCGTCCTGTGACGTGCGAGTGAATAAGTACAGGTTGTGCAGCAGATATTTCAGCTCAGAAACGTTCCAACATGATCCGCAGGCAGAGTCAACAAGTGGTAGATGCTTTTACAGTGGAGCGATATTTCTGTGGGCCTGAACGAGACGTGTTCACAAGCCTGCTGGTGTTCAGTGTAATAGGGCCTCACCTCACCAGGATTGTTGCCTCGTTTGAATCACAGGACACGGCGCTGCGCACACCTGGAAGTTATTCTGTGGTGTAAATTGCAGGTTTTACCAGTTGCTGTCTGCTTTTGACTTTTATTGTGGTTTGAAGAGCACTCATCAATGCTGATTCCATGTTATAAACATAACATTGCAGATCTCTTTAATAGTTTAAGTAGACTTTGTGTAATAATCTGTGTTCCCCAATTGTGTGTTAATAGTATGTGAGTAACCTGTGAGTAGACTGTGTGTAACAATCTGTTTCCTAATTGTGTGATAATAGTGTGAGTAACCTGTGAGTAGACTATGTGTAATGATCTGTGTTCCCACAGTTCAATCAGAGAGCATGAAGTTGCCTGAACTCCACCTGGGACCCAACCAGCACAGGTCAGTATGCATCTCCTCTGTGTCTCTTGCTGCTGTAGCAGTGGGGCTGTACGGTGACTGTACTCTCCTCTGTGTCTCT